GTATAAGGAGGTTGAGAGAGACTCAAATATCTTAACTACGTCCTTTATGACATACGTTGTTTAGTTTCTAGAAGTTCTATCTATTTATAAGTAAGAACAAAGGATCTAGAATAAATTATTATGAGAATAGAGAGTCTAAGATAGTTCATAGAAGTCCTCCCATCAAGAGCATTCCCTAAGGTATCTATTGGGTCCAGCCTAGGGCTTGGATTAGACAATTAGGTCTTTGAGCCCAAATCAACAATTAAAAAGAAAAACTAGAAAGGAGGCGTGCACATAGTTGAGGGCAGTGAAAATTTTTTGACGTATAATGAATGGTGGCAGCGCACGAAGAGAGATAAATAAGATTTTGAGTTTCTTTGCTTGACAATCAATGGTCAAACTTTATCAGTTTTGACCCAAATTATATGTGAAGAATCCTTGCAGCAAGCTCTACAATCCTAATAGTGTTGATCTACAGTTTATCCTCTTTGAGGTACTTTTCTGTTACATCCACTTTGTGAGACCTAAATTTTTTTTTGATGAGATCCATCCATGTGATAATGATATGCTATTCTTGATCCAAGATAAGTGGTCTTGATGTTATTATGATTCTCTTGTTATTTTAGAGAAGACTTATTATGAACCAGGTATCATTATTAGTGATAGTACAAGTTTGAAGTGGACTACGGTCTTGTAGTTCTTCCCGTATTGGGGTTTTCATATTAAAATTTGGTCTCACTTTATGATTGATTCATTGTTCTGTTATTTATGTTTTTCTAGTTAATATGTGTTTTTGATGTCAAATTGGAATTTTGATAAGGAACCAATTTTGATACGCAAAGAGGGAAAAAGAATTATTCTACTATAATAGGTTTTTCCTAATAAGTGGCATTAGAGCAATATGTTGTTTGGTACTAGTTTTTCTTGTGTGATTGAAATGGAATAGTCAGATGATATGATTAAATTGAATTCATCAAATTATTCTACTTGGAAGCATATGATAGAAGATTTGCTCTATTGCAAAGATTTATATATGTCTATCAAGGTTAAAGATAAACCTTCTATTATGGACGATGAGGAATGAGAGATTCAACATAGAAAAGCTATTACTTATATTAGAAGATTGATGTATATAAATTTGCATAAGCATATTTCTGATGAAACCAGAGCTGATATTATTTGACAAAGGTTAGAAAACCCATTTACAAAATAAACAGTGGGAAATAAAATTTCTCTCCTCAAAAGGCTTGTAAATTTGAAGTATAAAGATGATGGTAATATTATTGAGCACATAAGCCTATTTCAGAGTCTTGCGAACAAGCTAGTGTTGAATCTCGAATTTTGATGATGAAGTCAATTGTAATTTGTTTGATCTAATCTATATGTTGAGAAAAGTATGCAGGATTAACTACGATAGTAGTAAGACTTAAAGCAAGTATTGTGCCAGAGTATAGATCGAGATCACGTTGGGAGTTTGAGAGTTCATCGGAAGTCCGGACGTTCGTCAGAAGTTCTGCCGGAACCAACCAAGAAGTCTAGGAGCTTGCTAAAGAAACTCGTCGGAACTTGCCAAGAAGATTATCGTAAAGTCTAGGAGCTTGCCGAGAGTCCACCGGAGCATTGCTGAGAGTTCATCGGATGTTCGCCGGAAGTACGCTGAAAGCTCGCCGAAAGAGCAATTGACACACCAGAATAAGAAGAGCTATGATCATGTATTAATTATCGTAGTTAGAGCGTAAATTAAGTTAGGATCGGGAGGTAATCTCACTAACTTAATTAGGAGCCAATTGGGCACTTAACAGGGCCGATTTGGGCCGAATTGAATAGCCCAATCAGCCCCTAAAAATATGGTCGACGGTGGCACCGCCCACAAGACCCAGTCTCCTAGGTGGTCTAGGTAATGGTGCCACCGGCAGTGGTACCACTGGTAGTTATTGCTGCCAATGGTGGTATCGCCCCTATCAGGCGATGGTATCGCTAGAGCTCGGTCTTTGAACTCTATCAAGCGGTGGTACTGCCCAATGTTAGGTGTAAGGCGGTGGTACTGCCCAATAATGGCGGTGGTATCGCCAGGACCTCGAAAATCCAGGATTTGACACTTTTTGGCTCCATTTTTGAAGCTATTGGGGCCCATAAAAATCCTATTCTTTTCTGCATGAAAGTGCACAAAAGTATTGGTATATTCTTGAGTCTTTTAAGTGTTAAAAAGTTGTAAAAGTGCTAGAGTTCTCGTCCTCCCTTTCTAAGTTTTGAGATCATTCAAGAGAGGTGTGAGACTTGTAAGGGTTCTCTCCTAAACACGTAAAAAGGAGAAAGCACTGTAAAAGGTAGTTGGTCTTTACCTATTGAAGGAAGGCCTTTAGTGGACGTCAGAGACCTCGTCGGAGGAGGAATTCGAAAGTGGATGTAAGTCACGTTGACCGAACTACTCTAAATTCTGGTTTGCTTTTCATTAGCGCAATTTACTCTAACTACAAATCATTTCATAGCAAACTGCTTCTTCTCCTTATCTTGCTTACACTCTCATACATTTCAAGTTGCTATCCTTCCGATTTGGTTTTTATTGAATGTACGAAATATTTTATATGAAAATCGAAGAATTTTTCGCTGCACTAATTCACCCCCCCTCTTAGTGCCGCTCTTGATCCTAACAATTGGTATCAGAGCAAGGTTTACTCTCGTTTGGTTTAAAACCCAAGAGAGATGGCATTTGTCGATAACCTAGAGGGCCATTCAATTATACGTCTGCCCATGTTCAATGGGACGGATTATATATATTGGATAACTAGAATGAGAATCTTCCTAATTTCAATGGATTTTGAGCTTTGAAACATTGTCAAAAATAGTTTTCGAAAGTCTTCTCTTCCAATAAACAATTGGAATGAGTTGAAGAAGAAGACTTTTACTTTAAATGCCAAGGCTATGAATGTCTTATTTTATACATTAGATAAAAACGAGTTTAATCGAGTATCAATTTGTGAAACGACTTTTGACATTTAGCACAAACTCGAAATGACTCATAAAGGTACTAGTAGAGTGAAGGAGTTAAAAATTAATCTTTTAGTGTATTCTTATGA